TGGCTACATTACAGTAACTAAATCAATGGAATATATTGGCTATATTAAATGCATGCTGTGCTGCGCTCCCGCCAGCACCCTTCACTGTCCAGCCACCTCCATCCTCTACACCAAAGAGGGAACTGGCAGGATGAGCCAACAGCCGAGGTGCCTTCTGGGCTGCTTGAGCAGAGGAGTACAGCATTGCTGCAGCAACTGCTGCCGGTGCGTTGGCAAGCTGGGCCTGGGTGAGGCAGGGGCTGATGTGCCCACTGGCTCGGAGATCACACACATGTCAGATGCCCAGCATCCTGCTGGCTGAGAGATCACACATGTGTCAGAAAGTTGGCTGGATGGTATTAAAAGAATAATAATATTAAAATAATTGATAATTTAATTAGCTGTCACATTCTTTTCATTCTAGGTTTGTCTTACTCAGTATTCTTTTGTCATGCCATCTCTACTAAAAACCAAAAAAATCCAGATGAGAAGCAGCATGTTGGAACAAGCACACAAAAGTGGTTTGCTTTCATCTTATTGAAAAGATTTATCACATGCTCCAGGTTAATCCATTAGGCAACATTATTCTAACAAGGTGTGGCCAGCAGTTTTTATAATGTATGAAACATTTTCTTCCAGATTTATGTGCTCCCTCTATTTACAGTCCATATGTTGTGTATATTACAAACTGGTGTGATAAAGACTCAGGAAATTTTCTGAAACTCGTGTGTTGGGGTTTTTTCTTTTCTCTTCCCACACTAGGAAAGTCAAAGACACAACTAGATACCCATTCCTAATGCATATTCAGATCTGTCTGCAGCATTAGATGCACAAATATCCTTTCAAATCTGATTCCATCACTTTACATGCCTTATAATGCATTAGACGTTTACATGCCTTAAATCTATTTAGACTGCTTTATTACTCAGAGGAAGAAAATACTGGAAACTACCACTATCCTATTGATAATTTAAAAAAAAAAAAAATTACCTTTGGCATTCTCAGAAGTCATCTCCACTGCAGGTGAAAACAGACAGACAAGATATGGCTTGGCAATGGAGTGAGGTCTAGGATTCAGCAGGGAAAATCTCTGGAATTTTAATTCTGAGCAGGCATCTCATAAGGTCCCTGCTAGAGAAGCACTTCATTGACTTGCATGCATATTTCAGTACTTTTCTAAATCAGAATTCCCTCAAAGGGCTGTATGCTGAGCTATATTTCACTATTAAGTTTAGAGTAAGACCCAAATCATAAATAAAGGCAAAATCCATTCCTGATGTGAACTGGGGTTATGCCAGAGATGAATTTGACACAACTGACCTATTTGTTTCTTCTCTCTTAAGGAAGGAAAACGTAGAGGCTTGAGGAGCACTCCTTTGTCAACGTGCAACAGCAGCACAGCTTGCAAAGACAGTTGCATGGGTCTCGCAATCTTTCACCCAGGGCTTATTCTAGAAACCTCTTCCTCCCCCCCCCCCCCCCCCCCATCCCACACACAAAAAAGTTTTGCTTTG